AGTCATTAGATAAAAAAAGATTAACGACTCTGATTTATAAGCATGTGACACCATTGATCTTTTTTGATCTAGCGGCTATCAGATGAGGTGTCAAATTTGAAATATGACACCAGGATCCTACTTCATATGTATAAGTATGTGACACCATTGACCTTTTTTTATCTAACGGCTATCAGATAAGATGTCAAATTTGAAATTTGATAATGATATCAAAAGATCTTACCCCATATCCTATCCTATGTGCATCAATACATGTATATGATTCGCAATGTCAAATAATTTTATTTTATTTTATTTGTTAAGGATTAGTGGTTTAGAGATGAATACGATAAAATTAAAACAAATTGAGATTAAAATAAAACAATATTGTTGTGGGACAAAAATAAGGATCATAGTTAACTAAAAGGATGAAAAGTGTAAATTTTCTCACGATGATTTTTATGCACTATTTTAGTTTAGAAAGTATATATTTGCGTATTAAAAAGTTTCTTTTAATATATGTTAATTACTAAAATTTCATTAAATTAATTTATAAAAAATAATATAGATTTGTCGACATTGATATTTTAGTTTACTGAAAATCATATTTATAAAACTTTGGACCGCGAATTGACTTAATATAAATACAAAAATAGTGTGTTACTTTACTGGTTTAAATGCTGAATGAACAATTTAACTGTGTACAAATCAATAAAGTAGATACAAAATTCACGCAAGGGTTTTTTTGTGTGTGGTAATACTCATAGTAAATATGTAATCTAGTCCTTAATATTATTTTTCACTCACAATGTAAGGGGATGTATTGGATTAGAATTTTAAAATATTTTTTTGAGATAATTTTTTTTATAGATTTTAAAAGACTATTTAGAATTGGAGGAATTTTAAAGACTTTTCTAAAAAAATTTACAAACAAAATTTCATAAGATTGTATTTTAAAATATTTTAATAGAATTTATAACATTTGAAAGGATAATATGGATTTATAATATTTTAAAAATCATATAAATTTTTAACAAACATTCAAAATTACAAGAGTCAATAAAAAAATAACAAAGAAACACAATGATATTAATAAAAAAAAGTAAAACCTAATATAATTTTCTCAATCAGTAAAACATAATATAATTTTTAAGAAACATTAAAAATTACTAAGAAACAACTCTCCATATATCTAAAGTTATACTAGTCCTCCACGCATTAGCATCTTCTCATTCCTGCTCTTGGTTTGACCAACGGGTTAAAAATTATCTTCTTCATTTGGTATAAGAGCTATGCATATATGATTATAAGATCCAATTTTTTTATTTATTAAAATAATTCTAAATTTGCATATAGAACCTAAAGATCATGATAAAATTTTGTTTGAATTTTTTTGCAATGGATCTTGGAAACCTTGGGATTTTTGGTCTACGTGATGAGAGTTTTTTAACCGTATATCATGTACATATTTTCATTGAATATTCTAAGAAAATTTCAAATATGAATTTCAAGGTTTTATCAAATAAAAGTTTAGAAAATTTCTTAAATTATTTTTAATCGATACATTGAAACCTTAAATTGCTTTGAGGCTTTTGAAAAACAAGTTTTTTGTTATCTATTGACACAAAAACTGTTTGAAATCGTTTCCTATAACGAAAGAATTTCGTTCATGAATGTATTGTTACTTTCTTTAAATTGATATTGTTATATTGATATAAAACGAAAATCAGTTTGAGGGTTTTTGATCCCTTGTTGCTTTTTCACTTTTTATGTTGTTTTTAATACAAAAATCACACATTTTTGTGCCAAGAAAAATCATGACCTATAACTTGAAAAATTATATTTTAAACTTCCAAAACCTCTCAAAAAAAGTCTCAAAAATCTATTGTCTTTGATATGGATTATATTAGAAATTTGTTAGTTTATTATTTCTGAATTATTTTGTGATAAAAATCGCTCAAAAATATTTTTTTCTTGAACTTTGACAAAGTTTCCATGACGGAACCAGGTTTCGAACGAGTCAACCCGCCAAAGAAAAAAAGAAGACACTACAATAGAGAGATCTCAAAAAATCCTAGGGGATAAGGTGAGATTGTAAGAGAAGCATCCTATTTATATTTCTTACTAAAAAATCTCACGAAATCCACACCAATAGAAAATCTATTAATATCGTCAGATTTTTTAATAACACAATTTTTTTTTTCTTTATTTAAAATCATGATTGAATATAACGTATTTGGACGAACTTTAAAATAATTTTTTAAAATCCTAATCGAATATCATGTGATTTTTTTTCAATCTTTTAAAATTATAATTGAATACTAATAGATTTTTATATCCAAAATTAATCCATTAAAATCATTTGAAATCTCAATCCAATACATCCCTTAATTCTTGAACTGATAAGCTTTTCTTATATCTCACTTTAGTTCATTAACTTGATACACATTTTAAAAATTTAAAATTATTTAACTAATACACGCATGATTAAATTTAAGAATAAAACATTAGAATGTTTGAGAAGCATCTGAATTGAAGTAACCTTGGCCATCTCACCAAAGAAAACAAACAAGAAGTAACCTTGGCCGCTTTTGAAACAGTGGGTATAAAACTATTTCAGAGGCTTTGCACGGCCACTGAAAAGCTTCTTGTACTGTTTCTATATCTCTGCCATCAGTTCAATCAGAACTAGGGTCTATACACTATATAGACTTTTATGTTTGAGTCGGTAGTCAGTCTAATTTAATTCAAGGCGGATAAAATCATATAAGCGACAAAATATTTGTTTATCAAATTTTAATATAAGAGTAAATACATTTTTTTTGTCGTCAGCAAATTTTACGATGCACGCTTTAGTTCTTAGCAAATAAAAAATCTCATTGTGGTTCCTACGAAATACAAAATGGACTCATTTAGTTAAAATTGTGGTCTCTCACAAATTAAAAAAAATCCATATTAGTCTCTAAAAGAACTAAAATAAGTCCATTTTGAATTTCTTAGGAACCACGATAGGCCTTTTTATTTGTTAGGGATTAAAGCGGGCATCGTTAAATTTGCTGAGGACCAAAAAAAGTATTTACTCTTAATATAATTATATTTTTGGGGACTCAAATTTAAAATTACCAATTAAGTAAGGCTTTAATCCTTCTTATGTTACTATAGATAAAAATTTTTATAGTTATGCGGATTCTGATTTTTTTTTTTTTAATATTAGAATCCATATATAAATTCTAATATAAACATATTTGCTGCAAAATTTCTGATATGTTATCGCAGTATAAGAAGCGAACCCATTAAGTAATCCACAACTTGGTCGTTGAATGCATAGTAAACTAACTCCACTATATGATGCACTTTGAAAATTCAAACACCAGGTTAAGTTGGCGTTAAATATTCTACAAAACAAACAAAATTAACCCATCTTCCATCTCTAAGGGTACTTTAGCTGACAATTGAGTTTTTAAGAATTTGTTTGGATCAGGAATTCAAAGTCTGTCTCAAGCAAATTTTTAAAAACTCTTTAGCAGTTCAAAGAGAAATTAGTCTTAGTCTTCGACCGTTTTTCGAAAACAAGATAACCGGAGAAGATTGAACAAGAATATACTTCAAGTTGTACCCAAAAAAAATTAACCCAGGTTCAAACACAGTGTCACTTCGTAGTACAACTGGGGACCAATATAAATAAATAAAAAAGTGGTCCTAGCAGATAATGGAAGCAATAAGGACGGTACCCAGGTGAGTATGAAGCTAGCTGGCCATAATTTGTTGCACTGCACCAAAATACAAAGTGGAAGCAAATAACCAAAAGATCTAAACACAATTGTACCTAGTCATATAGGCCAAAACTTGTTAAATCAATTCACCGTAGCTTCTCCTTTCCTTTGCAATAATGGAGATGCACGCTTTCAAATTGGTTGAGGAACGAATCGTCCCCCACACCCCCTTCAACCTCTCGACGAAAAGGACTTCCAGTTCAAGGAATTAGAGAGAAAATTTCAGAGAGAGAGAGAGAGAGAGAGGCTCCACTTTCTTTCTTTAAAAGTTTGAGCACAGACTTCTGTTGCTTTCTAATAATTACCATTGCTTTGTAGCTACATGACATAAATTTTTTTGTCCACGCACGAGACAAGATACTTAAACCATGCATTGATATCAGTGTTTTTTTTTTCTTACTTTACTTACGTGTTGGGTTTTATGTCTTTAACGTGATTGGATAATTTGTACCAAAAACAATAAAACGTGATTAACTAGACAATATAGTGGAAACCAATTTTTTTCAAAAAAAAATTCGCCAAAAATTGACAGCAACAGCCGCCATAAAAGCAAAGTTACAAAGTCTTCAACTCATAATATAGGGATTAATTTTCTGATGTTTTAAAAAATAAAATTATCTTCTACACATATATATATATAGATGTATGAGATTTTCTTTTTCTTTTTTTTTACATGATCTCATATATTTTTATACATACGTAGAAAATAAATTTATCTCTTATAATATAAAAATTAAACCCAGTAATATATTATTACTTAGTTAATTATTTGTCAGATATCTCATCAATAACCTGATTAAATTAAGAAATCTTTTCTTATCTTTCTTTCTAACCTTTTTTTTTTAAAGTTTATGCTTTCTTGAATGTTGACGGTATTAAATTACAAGCTGCCATGAAAGGAAAGTAAAGAACTTTCAAATGGACGATGTTGGGATGGTTGAGGGAAACTGAAAATGGAAAACATTTTTTTTACCAAATTAAAAGGAATCAGTGCATTCCACTCTCAAAACTATCAATATCTATATAAAATTATTGTCGAACAAAAATCCAAGGGAAGCATATATAGTAAGAATAAGGGTTTTAATTTTAACAGTCTTCTTGTACTGTCCATAAACTTTGGCTAGCCAGTGGTCTTTATTTTGATACCTTTCACTGTTGCCATCAAGTTGACACCCAATAAATGAAGAAAGACCCTTTTGTGGTCCACACCCATTTTCTCTCATTCTATTTACCTTCTGGTTTTTGGTTTTTCTATTTATATCAAGGTTTTATGGTCTTCTTCTCCTTGACTTCTCTCCATAACCTTCATCTGGATCGTTGATCTCTCTTTCTCTTCAGATTTCCCTTACTTATGGATGAAAGCTGGGCTGAGGGAAAGGGGACCTTGAATTACAAGGTGGAGGATGAGTATGAAGAAGAGGAGGAGGAAGAGGTAAGTGAAACGGGTTTTGGAGAAGATAGAAGGAAGAAGAGGGTGGTTACTGATCTTTACAGCAAGAAAGGGTCTAAAGCTGGTTGTTCAGTGCCACCTTCTTGTCAAGTGGATAATTGTAATGCTGATCTAAGCGATGCTAAGCAGTACCACAAGCGGCACAAGGTATGTGAGTATCATGCCAAGGCTACTGCAGTACTCATCGCAGAGCAGCAGCAAAGGTTTTGCCAGCAATGTAGCAGGTTGAGAAACCCTAATCTATTTTAAACAAACATAAATTTTATTTTATTTTTTGTGAATCTAACTATTGTATTTGCACTTTTTTTTTATTGGAACTTTAATCTTTGATATGAAATGGCAGAGGGAAGAGGTTTGATTAGAATTGTGTTATGGATACTTTGCTCGTCTCAATCAGCCCTAGCTAGACACAACTCTTTGGTTTGTGCTTGAGATGTGTCTAAACTTGTATCGTGTTTAAAAAAAGTTTCATTGTTACTTTCGGATTTTGACTCTTAGCAAGCAAAGTTAGCTAGCTAGAGTACTAAAATATTCTACTTCTATTATATTAGTAGTGACTAATTATATTCCAACATTTATCAACTGCCCAGATAGAAAAATCTTAGGCATAGGATTTTTGTCAATATACCCTGATTATGTAGTAAAGTGCATTTTTAAAAATCATTGATGGAATGTACTCAATTCAATCCTATTAGCCCCAACATTCTCCACTAAGGCAAGATGTATTCGTAGATGACCAATTTTTTGTACAAAGACAGGGACGTTGATATGCCTTCAAAGATCATAGGGCATTTAATAATATGCCAAGTATGAATAGAATTTCCACTTCAGTGATCACTTAGTTTTGGAGTCATGATTTTAATCCGTGAAATCAACAATACAAAAAGTGTAATTTGGTTTTATTTGTCTATTTTTTTTTTTAAATATGCGGATCCTCCATGGAGATGGCAAATTAGGATGATTTCAGAACATCCGATTATCACTAATTTTGATGCATGATTTAAGGTAATGTCACAACCACAACACACAAGAAACATCATTTCTTTCTTTCTTTTCTTTTTTGAATCTTAAACTATACCATGTCAACCTAAAATTCCAGTTCTTGGGAGAAGGTTCATAAATAGCTCCGTATCTAACTCACCTATTCTTTCTCTCTTCAGGTGAAAGGTAGATTCAAACCCGTCTTTTGTATAAACCAAATCAGCTTGCACCTCTGAACCTGTCCTTGTATAAACTAAATCAAACAAGAAAAATATAATGTTTTCATAGGAACAAAATTCAGTTTCTAGCTAGAAAATTTCCCATGACAACTATTTCACTTTGTTTTGGAATTTTGTTTCCCAGGTTCCATGAGTTATCAGAATTTGATGACTCAAAAAGGAGTTGCAGAAGGCGTTTAGCTGGACATAACGAGAGGCGTCGCAAAAATGCATCTGAATATCATGGAGAAGGATTTCATGGATGAGATGGACAACCACAAGCATTGAGGCAATCATAATATATCAATAACAAGGACAAAAGTCTTAATTTGGTGGACATGCCAAGCAGGAAATGACTGAAATAAAGTCTCCCATGCATCCTTCATACTCAAATTGATGTTATTGATCTCTGAGGAAGCTCTCTCTCTTCTGTCATTCTTTTCCTGTATATATCTATATATGCTAAGATTGCTGGAATGAGTTATATCTATGACAATATTTTCACCTGAAATCATCATAAATCTTGCTTAACTACATGACCTTTGGAAGTTTCTATGTTTCTTTTGCATACTAGTTCAATTTATTAGCATAGCTTCTCTAATATCTTGAAGGGATATGATTTAAAGAGTAATGATCAATGTCCAAAAATTTATATATATATATATAAACTTGCCCAAATGATAGGGCATTATAACTTCTAAGTTAGCATTGGTACATCATCAGTATTATTCTTTTAAAAAATAAATTTAAAGAAAATTATTCACTGTCAATTAATTTTTACAATTGCTCTTTTCTTTTTTGGCTTTTTGCTGCATTTTCTAAAACAATATTAATAATGTGGCTCATTATCATTTGAACAATAATTTTCGCAAAAAGTTTTGATATACTTCAACTTTCAATCTAGAGACCACGTTTCAACTCCAGTTTAATGCATTGTATTTGTTGAAATGTTCTTTGAGTATCCATCATAAGTTTCTTGTATGAATGACTAAAGAAGCTAGTGGGTAGTAATTAATGTCAAACAAGATTGCCAATGGCACCAGAATGTAAGTGCCCTTCAGAAGGTAAATGACATTCATTTTTTATTTTATTTTTGTTTGCATATTATTCATGCCACGGGTTACAGAGAGCACTTGTTGTTGTGTTTACTATTTTAAAGAAAGTAATGCTACTTGCACCGAAAATGGTCATAACTATGTTTCCAAAAAAAAATGTTCATAACTGCATAGGGGCATGCATATAGACACTTATGTGGAGCATTGGTCAATTGTAAGTTTAATTTTATTTTTTCCATATAGTATTAAATAAGACGCACCCATAATCAGCAACTCCATGGATTACAATTTAAGGAATTGTCTCCTGACAATTTTCAGAGCCATTTTTAACCATGAAATAAGGTTGAAATAAATCGTGTTCAATTTTCTTATTGTACCCTATCTCCATTATTTATTGTCAAAATAGCGGGTTTTTAACTGTAATATGATATTTAATTTCTATATAAAATATTTCTATTTAATTTATCTTTTAAACAAATATTAAAGACTAATGCGATCAATTTTACCAGTTGATTTTACAGGACAAGTCTTGTACGTCAACTATACGAGATTTTTGCGTTAATGTGAAAATTCCGCACAGCAAATGTTCGAGACTAGTCTCATATTACTCTCTTGTATGACTTAGAGAAAGAAATGAAAGGAGACGAAAATGAAGTGGTTTGTGTGGTTTTCAGACTTATATATACGTAAGTCCCGCATAAGAGCAATATGAGACTAGTGGCATACGTTTGTAATGTGAGACTTGATGAATCTTGTTACTTGTACGTTTGTCGTGCAGGACTTTTAAGCTAGCACTAATTCTCACATAATTAACGTGAGTAGGATTTATCCTCAATATGAGAGATTAATTGTACTAATATGAATAATTATTTCACAACAAATTAAACAAATTTTTTTAAAAGACTGTAATACAGTTAAAAAGCCTCAAAATTACTGTTAATTATTCACTTTTACTATTTTTTTAATATCTCGTGGGTATGCTCATTTTCAAGGTTAATAGAATTTGCAGGCACAACTCACCCAAAATTTAAAACTCTAGTATATTTCAATTTGAAAAACAAATTAGAGAATTTGCAAAACAGTTAGCGCATTTAATCAATAATTATCTATAATTTATCACAAATTTGAATGAGAATTGTTATTGACCCAGCTTATGGACTATACTCTAATGGTCCCTAAAAGATAATTAAAAATAAGAAAAAAAATCATAAAATATCAATCTTGCTTATATCTTTAGTAGACCAAATACTTAACCTCCAATATTTTTAAAAGTCCAAAATTTTACATTTAATAACCATCTACAAATAAGAGGTTAAATCTATCAAGTAGGCACATTAAACTCTATACTCTCTTAGTTATCAGTGTGCACACTTCCTACGCCTTCAGCTATACACTATTATTATATTGTGCACAATGATTTGTTATCCCTTGCGATGTCTCTCCTATAGACCCCCACAAGAGTATTGATCCAAAATATAATTACCAACCACCGGTTGAACATCGTGATCCTCTCGAATAGAACAAAAATGTTAAAAAATATTTATTAAATATATAAATTATTAATCAAATCAATTTACTGTATAGTTAATCGTATTAAGAAAACCAAGTTAGAAATATTTTCAACATCTTTATTCATTGTACCAAAAACAATCTAATAGCCAGCACTTCAGGATTGAACATTGAAATTGAATCATAAACACAAAGGTTAGAGGCTGCGGTCTAAACTATCAAGGTAGAAATGCTAACAAAAATGTCAATGAACCCGACGTAAGCTGAAAAATAAAAACGCAATATCAATGTCAATGAACCAGACAGCCTAAGTTTCAATAACTTACGCATCAGATGATAGTAGACAGTCCTTAGATGGGCTAAAAGTATATACGAGAAGTCATAAAAGGTACTGGCACCACTTAGCAGTTTAATAGTCCACAAAGTAATGTTTTTAGAATTGGTAGTACATGCTGCTTGTATTTTCAAAATATTTTAACTTGAATGATCATTGAGTCACCTTATACACAAATTAAGCCATTAGAGTTAGCCCAGTAGAAAGGAATGTAGATAGTTATGTAATAGGTTGTATGTTTAATTTCTCAATGTAGCCAAAAAAAAAAACCTTATACACAAATTAACAGTATAATTTTATGGAAAGAACTTAAATAAAGTTTCTTATGTACTTGTGGTGATGTTCTCTAATAAAAACATAACATCAATTTATTTTTTAGCCACATCATCCTTCTTTTAAAAATTCTTCATGTGAAACTTTATCACACTTGAATTCTAACGATAATACACATATTTGTATACAGCAAAAAAAAAAAAACAGCATTTCGTAAGGATTATCTAAGCAATGATGAATATCCTCCACACACCTGAAGTGTATTCTGCCTGCTACCATACACATTAATTATGATGTTGCAGAATGTTGCACAGTTTCCTCACCCCTCAATTTTTACAATTTTAGGGCACAATAAAGAGGACTACTGTATCTATTAACTTAGGAAACAAAGGATCATTACCTTGGATTGGATCTGCATCCTACATTGGAGAAGTTCATTTAAATTATTGCGGTGGTGGATAATAGAGCTATAAATTACACTACAGCATACAAACCCTTGGTTTACTTTACCTTCATCATTTTTGTTGGACATGACTCGATATTGATGATGCAACCAGAGTAAGTTGCAGATGGTATTATTACTTGAGGCTGTGGTTTTATCTCTTCTCTTGGTTTGCCTACCTAGATTAATGCAGAAAAGCAAAAAGTAGAAGGCATGAAATGAAGCACATTCAAGAGGTACAAGATACTTCATGACACTTGCATCATAAATCTACAAAACCATTAAAAAGTTTGTAATGCTGAGTCTCAGAACATTTGTGCTGATTGGAGCAATGTCAAATCAAGAAAACCTCAAGTCATCTTCATGTAAACCTGAAGGGACAGTTTTGTCTTCGAATAAATGCCAAAAAGAAAGGAACTTTCAGATGCCATCTCAACAAAAGATGATGTTGCTACATTACATGTGGAAACCTTGAATCAATCCTCACAAAATCTTTAAATAAGGAGAGAATAAAAACACGAGCATTGAGAGCATAGTAACCCACTAGAAACTGAACTACAAGGAATAATTTGTTGGAGAAGTTATATATAAAAGCCATTAACAACTGAAAAGTTTAAACTTTTAGGAGAGATATCAGAATCTCCATAATCATAGAGTAATGAATTTGATTCTCACCGTCCCACTTTCTAGTGGTGGAGTTTTTTTTTGGTATAATCTGGAGGTATCTCCATTCAATCTCTTCCGGACACCTTGCCCTTGGGATACGGCCATGTAGGCTAGTCCCTCATTGAGCTTCGCTATCGGAAGAAGGATGAAACTAATCTCCCCATTCAAGGACGGAGACACATCCTCTAGCTCCCAAAGATTGGAACTTGCTTGAGGCATGGTTTAAATCCCTGGCTCAAGTAAAAAACCCTTGGGAGCTCAGTTGCCAACTGAGCTACCCTCGGAGGTTCTTTCTAGTAGAATTAAATTAGTATAAGATACAAAAAAACAAAAAAAAAAAAAAAAACAAAAAAAAAATAAATAAATTGGCATGAGATGGTTGTTTATTATACTTATCAACTAGTTTCTTAAAACAAAAAAAAATGGGGTAAAGAGGGGTGATAGTTAGAATGACATGTTACAATTGAACAATTTCCCCGGAGTTGATCTCTCTCTCTCTTTCTCATTCTTTATGCTGCCGCTACTTTCTCTAAACTGTATTGTTGGTATCATCATCCCTACCAACTCTTTCCAGTTTCCATGTCCTGAGGTTAGAGGTTGGTTTATTTTTTATTAATGCCTCCAGCAAACAACAGAAGGTAGTCGCATCGCAAAGCAACTGGCAAACTCATGATAAAGGAAATATTTCCAGACTAAATTTTTATCTCCGTCTTGTAAATAGAAAAACTTGGTTACTTAAATACAACTAAAATATTTGTCACTAATTTAAACCCTTTTATGTAAAATGTAATTAATTTAGTCTGAAACCAGTGTTATGTGCGTACAAATTATTCTTTTATATATATATATATATATATATATATATATATATATATATATATATATATATATATATATAGAGAGAGAGAGAGAGAGAGAGAGAGAGATTATATTTATAATCTCTTATTATAATTTTTATAATTATTAAATCAAAATCAAATCAGCAATCATAAAATGAAATCAATCGAGAATTATTAATTTATTTTTAACCAAACGAAGATAAAAATTTTATGGAAAATTATAATGAAAAAGTGAAAATGACATGCATGGTTTGAAAATTTTACACCGGTTACTACAAAGTACAAGAATAATCATTTACAAAACTTATAAATATTTATTTCCTTGATTTTCTTTTAACTAAGAATCCAGAACAGAAGGTGCCAGTCAGAAAATCATACATGACAAGGAAATGCACCCGTCAACAAGAAGTCATTATATTCTGGAAATGCTTTCGCATAGTCTCATTCAAGTAAACTTGGTGACTTTATCAGAGATCATAGCTTGCTAGGAATAACTTCCTTAGAAAGCACTCCACTTCTTTCAGCAATAAACTTAGCAAACCGAGAACCCTTCTCTTCTTTGCTATTATTGTCTACGAGAGACTGAGATGGATCAGGCATAGGATGGAGCTTCGGAGATGATGGTCGCATCAATGCCCATACAGATGAAAGGTATTCGTTCGGTTCGTCTAGAATTCCTAAAAGTGATAAATTCTGCATATCTGCAGTGGAAGAACCATATCATAAGATGTCCAACCTACCATGAAGTGACAAAGTAGAAAGAAAAAAAAAAATTGTATTTTTGCCTACTCTTATAACCAGATTTTGTAGATTTCTGATTTCAAATATGTTACTAATTGTTCTCTTATAGTGTTAGCCAAGGAGAGGTGAGGTGGGAACAAACTAGATAATATTCATTTTGGAAGTAAACAATTACTTTAAAAGCACACCTTTTGAGAACATGAAGATGGGTGCCAAAGCTGCAGATGGAATGCTAAAATTAAGATGAGGTATTACCGCTCCTCCACCATGCCTTGCATTGCTGTGTCAAAAACATTATCTAATTAAATATTAAGAAAATAAAATTGGACCAGCCAGAGCAAACTGACCTCCTATCCTATGAGTAAATAGGGACAATAGAAGACAGTCTCATGCTGTAGAGACAGTAAGTCTCAAAGCTAAAGAATTACATGCAAAAAGATCATTGTTGTCTTCAAAGCACAAAGGAAACAAGAACAAGGCAAATTTTGATTTGCAGATATAGGCTGCCTAAGAACAACATATTGCAGGCAATCCAACGCACACCCAACTTACATTCTGATTTCAAAACCCTGATCCTAAACTACAGTATCAACGAAATCAGTGTGACAAATGTCAACCAATTGAACTAACTCATATGTTGCAGTTCAGTACTACACATTACACAATGTAACAATTTTTGTAGATGCAGGGGATGAGCTGATAATATTGTACATGAAGTTAGTGGCTTTTGTACCAAAAACAAAAGTTGGTGGCATTACCTTGTAACCAGGCCAATCATGTAACCGTCAGAATCCATAACAGCACCACCGCTAGCACCAGGATGAACAGAAGCTGTTGTTTCAAGCATTGCTGGGAAGAGCCCATGGGTGTGCATGTGCTCAGGTTCAATGGACTGATAGGATTGAGGAGTCTTTGCTTCAACCACTTTGGCTACCACACCAGAGCAAACAGATGGAAAGAATCCTAAAGAAAATAGATGTTAAACAAGGAAATAAAAGGAAAACCCACTGTAATTGAATCAGTTCTTAATAAAAATGGATATAACACATGATGTGTCACACTGATCACCCCAGCAACAAATTATCATACATAATAACATATGCCATAGCCACAAAAGTCAAGAATAAATGGAATATATCCTTTTATATAATTATCACTTTGGGTTTCAAACACATGAGCTCATTCAACCTTGTTTTTGAAAGGTAAGCATCATACAGACAACATAAGCAAGAAAGCATAAACCTAAAGCTTAAAATACCTAAGTATTTTTTTGTTTAACTTTGATCATGGAGTTGATTGTAATGTTCTGTCAGACCTTACAAAATCAAAATTGTTTGGCTCATTAGTTTTACGGTGCTGCTACTTTAGTTAACTAAATACGTTCAATCCTTGGGTGCCATAGTAATTTTCATATTTGCAATCTCAATCCCAGGTCATGGGTTGTGCTCAAACTTAGATATTAAGCTATATAGATCTTACTTTATCTAAGCTTTACTTATGGGTTTATTAATAGTAGGAACTCGGAAATCTCAATCCTTATGAAGTTATTACCAATATTTGTAAGATAAGTTTGTCAAGCCAATAATCTCAAAATCTTAAGCAATTAGGTGGAGGATCAAGAATGGTTTTATCTCTCTAACAAATATGTAAACATAGCTTGTCCCAAGCCAGGGTAAAGGAGAAGGATAATGTCAGGCGTAGCGAGCCGGTGGGAAAAAACAACTATTTTTATGAGAGAATCCAATAGTTTAGGATAAAGATGATGTTGATGCTGAACAAAGGTATATAGGTAAACAATATATGCTTCCTCTCCATATTGAAGATCAATTTTATGTTTTATACGGAAAATAGGTTTGCTTCTTGGTTGGTTGAAGCATTCTTTGGCAAATATGCTTAGTGATGTGTAATAGGTAACAAGTAGCATTGTAAGAGCAAAAAATTTGATTGTTGGCAAATCCTAAACAAATACAGAAAAATAGTTCATGTCAACCAGAGGCAAGCAGACAAGTCATTAACATAAGCTCGTTTATTTTGCACTACAGTTCCCTATTACTGAAGAAGCAACTTTGTTATATTTTCATGCCCATAAATATCGTTGGAACTGCTGAAGCAGGAACTCCGAACAAAAAGAAAATGAAATAAACATGAGGATTAAAAAAAAAAGATTAAAGGAACTTTAGCTTGGCAGATATGTGATCATGAGTAGCCTTAAAATCTATTCCACAAGGCATCAAACCAAGAAAGTAACAGAAAATTAGACCATCAAGGACATACCACACTTGGGGCCAAATAATCCATGGCCAATGACGTATGCCTTTGATCCTGCCGATGGCCTGGAAAAATTCATTACAATTGGCGAAAGCTTATCTGGAACAGATTCAAGTTGCAGTAAGGCAACATCCCATGGTCCTTTACAGACATAAACTACTTTAGCATCACACCAAACCCAAGGTTTGACATGATCAAGACGTACTCGTATGTTTCTATGGTTGTCATAAGTTGTATTAAACTTATATTGCCCCTGCTCATCAGCGGCGAAAGGATAAAGAATAGGCATCTTGGACGGAAAAGTTTGACTAATTTGATAGCTCTCAACTCTATTCCCAAGAGACATGGTTCCCTCCAACACCGAAGTAAGTTTTTCTGAGTTGGTTCCATATCCTCCACCACTTACATGTGTTTTCCCAAATCTCCACGGTTCCAAGAGATGGGCATTTGTAAGTATGAGACCTTGACTGTTTAGCAAAATACCAGAAGCCCATACTCCATCACCAATAGTAACAAGACAGACAGAAGCCATTGCCTTCTCAATTGGTAATGGTGAGGAGCTACCAAAATTTAAATTCTCATGTTTATTCCTAGAGGGTATATCTAATTTGTCAGTCTCAATAGAAGATCCCCTTCCCGCAGTATAATGGTTGCTCTCCTGATTATATAACCCTTTCACTGTGTTCTGAGGCCACTTCTGCAGCAAGCCACTAGAAGCAGTCGCAATGGCTTCCCATGGGATCACCAGCTGTTACCAAAGACTAGAGTTTTGCATGACGTGTTAAATTTGAGAAGGTTTTAGATAATTAGATCTAGAGGAGAATGCATTCGAGGTACCTGGATTTCTGCCCCACTTGTCTTCTGCCTCAATGGTCTGATAAGGACACCAATAAGACATGCATGCTTACTGAAAACTGGACTGCCTTCCATTCCTGGCAGATAGAGTGTCAAAATAGAGCCAGAACCAATTGCATAAATGACCAATGGATTATGCAACAGAGAAATGGCTCACACCAGGAAGACTGCGTATGTCAGCCATCAGCAGTGATCCATCAGATGAATGAGGGGGATAGCAGTTTGCTATGCATCCTTCTGCTATACTGATTCAAGCAAGCAACAAAATCAAAGGATTGAATGGTACAAGAATATCAAACATTGACATCCACTTCATCACAGTATTAGAGACAAAATAGCTGCCTGTACAACTCAACTCAGCACAAAGGAGATCCCAACAGCTCATGGAAATAGTTTGACATAAAATGACAAAGGACATGCTATATCTGGGTGTTTAAGCAAGTTTACTCTAAGAAGAGTGCTTAACCCTTTTTGAAGTAACTACCAGATTTTGTTATTCTATTTTTTCTTCTTCTAGCCAAACGAAAAAATATACCTGTTAAAGAAGTGCGTAGGTGACAGGACTCCAAAAGGAGACCCTACTGCCAGAAGAAAATCACCCCTTTTATTCATGGAAGATACTTTACTATCTGGGGTGTCCTGTGTTACAACCATCCACCAGTTATTCTCATGAATCTCAATGGACTAACAAAGAATATCAGTACAAAATCATTCCACAAGTAATCAATATATTATGTTATAGCGGGTTGCATAAGGAATCTGACTGGAGAAAAATAAGATAAATAAAAGCAGAAAGATACCTTGAAAGATAAAGGAACACTAAGAATGGCCATTCTAGTCAGTGATCTGCACATAAGACTTGCACTGCCAAATCCTCCCACAGCCAATTTTTCCTGATATTTTACAGAAGATTTAGCATTCTCCATAAGAAAATATTGAGTTTGGTTTTATGTATAAAGAATTATTTCAACCTAAAAACTTAAGCTGTTAATCACATTAATAATTTTATATGATAAGAGCCCAGTATGCTTGAAAGGTGGACAGGACAATACACAGGCTCACCTACCTGTGCTCCACATATTTATTTATTAATAGAATAAGGGGCAATGAGGATCGAACTTGTGATTACTTGGTCACGGAGGCTCTGATATCATATAAAAAACCATTTCAACCTAAAAATTTAAGTTGTTAGGTGAAGGTCACATTAATGATTTTATATTATAATTTTCTAACATTATGCATCATGATCACAGAGATGTTATTCCAAAAGGCAATTTATACCATCAAGAAGAAGAAGAATGAAACGATAATGAGTTATAATTAGAAGACCAAAAGTGTATAGAAACCAATTTTTTAGATGTAAGTGCAAATCCATTTATACATGAACAAAATGATATTTGCAGTTGCACCAATAATTATTTTATAAAAGATATACAAACATATCTTAAATAACAACTAACATTACCAAGAACCAACTATCTTAAATGCTTAAGCTATTAGGTAAAGACTCATGAATAAACATACAACACGCCTTCTCACACAAGAATATTTTTGCTTAAAGTGTGAACAGCGCATAGTGCACTTTACCTAGTGCTTTTAATTCAACTTTTATTTAGAAAAAACGAGACCACTAAACTGCTCGGCATAGAAGCTATGATACCATGTTGAGAGACATAGAGGGAGAAGAGAAGAGAAGCATACGCTGAAACCGTGTATTTCATTATATAATAAATGTAATAAATACAAAGATACAATTTTTCTAATTACTATTTGCATGATACAATGAACCAAGACATTTACATAATAATACACATTTCTAACAAAGGTGAATCCAAAATACCCATGAATCTAATGTAGAGATTACATGATTAATCCAAGTTAACATTCCCCTAAAAGATATTATGTCTATTAAACATATTTGTCAAGGCATAGCTTTCAAACCCTTTCCTTAGTCATAATAATCCACATTACAATTAATATAAATTTAAATAATTTATCAAGCACTTCAGAAGGGATATGAAGGAGGAAAAATAAAGAAAAAAATTAGGTGTGCAAGAAATATGACAAGGTAGGGCCTGAGTAACGACTGTGTTCAAAAGTACATACCACCTAGGTTCACTTTTTGTTTTCCCTTTTCATCTTTGACAAACAATCTGCAAACTATTTCACTAAACCAAATTTAATTCAGCTTACCACTACAAGGCTACATGCAAAAAACTTTTGAGCATATAAAAAATAGCAGGAAAATAGATTTTACCAGACAATTCGAGATATTGTGGAATTCTTGTAATCTATTTCTAAGTTTAACTTAGCGGTATCTTTGTAGTCCACTACAGATAAAAGTTTCAAAAGTTTTCAGCAAATACCTAAAGTCATGGAAGGATTATCATTCTTTGATCTCATGTCCTAGAATAAAAATTCAGATTATGGTGCCATCAGGCTTGCAGACCAACGAGCAAAACTTTCCAGGAGTTTATGTTGACTGTTTTCCTCCAGCAGTGACAGGCATACACATGCTACGATTTAATTCCAGAGCTTAACTATTTTATTTAGATAAACATAATACAAAGTGACATACAAGTCATATTATCAAAACTAGGAATGCAGAAATACACTTTTTTTAGGGCATTTGGATCATACTTCCTGTGTTGTTATTGAACAGGGATGTCTCTGAACGTACAAATTTTTAAAGTAAACTAGTTTATAGCAAAAGGAGAAAGTATATTTATGAAGAATAAACAGGGCTAACCTGAGTTTGAAATGAATCCTTAGAAGGTTGAGAATCATTATTGTAAGATGCCAAAGACCAACCAACCTCCCATTCATGCTCTGGCAAGCCCAAAGATGCTTCGATAAGCGACTGGAGACAAAGGGCTGAAGGAGGAATATCAACCTGCATAATGCATAAACCTGATTAGCATTGAACCAACAAATAATGATTTAAAACCAAGTACCAAACAAAAAATTCCCAGGTTGTCAAGAAACAAATGTTACAAACTGTCAATAACAAACCATTAAATTTAACTGCAGAGGTCACTGTATGAGCCCTAACACTAGATTCTTGTCCAAAAACATATGATGCTATGAACTGAAAGTTCACAACAATCTAAGAAATGAACGACTGCATCAAACACTTAAGAAATCATGAGAAATTCATTTACAATCCGGAAACAAAGTCAAGAATTAAATGACATTAGACTAAGCTAGTCATGTACCTTAATGAGTCTCATTAACTAAACATATGCCATTCACAGTGATGAACATATTATAAAACTGAATCAGTCAATTAAAATTATAAAGTATCAGGTGCACCACATTATTAATTGCCAAGAAGACAACATAGAGCAACGTAAAAAGAATTAAAATGCCCACAAATGACAAAAGCTGTGCCACAAGCCAACAAGGAGTTCCTTGATTAGGTTTTTCATTGGTTTTCTCTGTCATAACATCAATCCGAACACCAGAAATCAAGTCAGGCCTACCCTGAAAAGAATAAAAAGCAAATTTAAAACACATTTACACAAAACTCCTTTAATAATTATAAAAGCCAAGAACGTTAGCCAGCTACACTTACTAATAAATCCCTGAGTACCAACCTGAGGAATATTCTCTCTATGTTGAGGGGATAGAAAAGGCTCAACAATTGATGCAACCGTCACAACCAATACCCTACCTTCACGGTTATCACCAAAGTGATGCCTAGCTACTTGAGTGTCATAAAGGGTATCAGGCACAAGCAACCCTGAAGCTGAAAGAGTTGTTTCTCCAGAACTACACATACCCAGTAGGAGAAAACCACATCCATAAATGCAAAAACGAAACTTTGAGAAACAAACAAAATTAGATTACGGATGGTTTTACTAACCGGTATTGATGAAAAGCGTGTCTTCTCATCTTCATCCCTTTCGGGTCCTGAAAGTAAGGGGGAAACAACAGAAATTGAAAACTGAGTGACCCGTGATTACAATAACCGGTTTGTCCATAAAGGGGAAGAGAGAGAGAGAGAGAGAGAGACTCACAGGACCACGAACTCTGACCATAACTGCGAAATTCCGAGCAAAATCAACGGTTTCTGACATACCCATTATTATACTACGAAGAGAAAAGTTTGAAGGAATCTGGGTCTGTGTCTGGGATGAGCATCAGTTCAAAGTTGAAGGTAGAAGAAGAAAGAGTAAGAGCAAAGGGACATGCCTTTCATCTAATGGTATCATTTCATCGTATAACCAACCCAAGGGAATAAAATAACTGTGATGTGAATACTTGGATTGGATTCTTCTCTAAGTTATGCATAACGCCACCAGTTTATGCATTTATTCTTCATTAGACATTTTTTTATTTTAATGACACCGCTGAGTACATATTTCATCAACACTATAAACTCAATGGGTACTTTGCTTAAATAATTAAAATGAAGGCATTAATTAAGAAATATAAACTCAATGAAAAAGTATTTATCATTTTAAATGATATAAGCTATGTTATTTTATAGACACAAAGATATGTGAGTTTTATAGAAAGAAAAAAAAATGTAAATTTCATCTCTTCGTGTCTATAAAATGACACAATTGTGTTATTTGAAAAGACGCATTTTTTCTTTTTATTAAATATGTCTAATTATTAAAAAGTAAGTATTCAATATTTTTGTGATTTTAACTAATAAATACATATTTATTACTCTTTATTTTTGTTTCTTTAACTTGTGTACTAAATTGCTTATTAGTAAATAGTAAATAAATAATCTATAGTACTACTTTTTGACACCCCACAGGAGAAAAGCTAATGTATTGGAGAGTATTTTTAGGAAATCTGGAACATCATTCATTTAGTGGTCCTCCGAACTAATTAAAATTGAGTGTTTTTTGTTATATGTGTATGGAGAAGAAAAAAGAAACAAAATTTTAATCCAAGTGTCACGTTTTGGATAGAAGTCAGGCCTACATGATCCGAGTTCATTGAAAATATTTACAATGTATTGATTTTTTATTTTTTTTCGAGGTATTTTCAATGTATTGATAGCTATTCTAAATAATGTTTCAACTTTTTTTTTTTTTTTTTTGGGTAAATCCATGTTTCAACTTTTAGATAGACAAAAAAGGTTATAGGTTTTGCTTTATTTTTCCTTTCAATTTGCTCCTCTATAAAATGGGCAATGGCACAAGTTGTAATCCGTCAACAAAATAATCGAATCCCAGTTCTTCCACTTATGATGGTGGATGGGAACGTCTACCAAAATGTTATTATTTGACAAAAAATTTACTCAAATATTATACGAATAATATTTTTTATCAGACTGTCACGCAACTTAATTTGTTATGTCTGGTAGCGAATTATGTTCGCTAATAATTTTATGACATATGGCATATTTTCGCAGAAAAAACTAATTAGACGAAATTCGTTACTAGTGGTAACGAATTTGGTATGCAATGTGGCCACGTGTTATGAAATCATACGCGAACATAATACGCTACCACTCATAATAAATTACGCTGCGTGACAATTTAGTACAAAGTACTGTTCATGTGATATTTGGATAAAAAATTTATTAAATAATGGCACTTTGTTCACCATTTCTCGTGAATGAGTTTCCGGAAGTTGGAACTGGTTGAACATTCAAAATGATTTAATGTTTCTGTGTAGATTGATATTGTGTGAACAGTATTATCAATATATACCAATAAAGTGCTCGATCATTGTTTACTGTTTATTTTTTTTTCTCTAATTATAATCGATTAGGAGACTTTGGTAATAAGTTTAGTATAAAAGGTTTCTCGCCAAATACATTATAGTGTGTGAAAGGATATTAGGATACTCGGCCATCAAAGCCCAATCCATTACATGAGTCCATTATAAGAGTTAGTTATTCAAGTAGTTAGAAGTTAATTCTGTTAGTTAATCATCTTTAGTATATATTGAAGAATGTAAACAGAGAAATGGTATTCAATCAATATACAGATTATTCAGAATTTCTTTGTTTTCTACATACTTTCTTTATCTTTCATGGTATCAAGAGCTGATGATCCATGGAGACCGATAAGCGCAACTCTATTCAACCTTTCAACAATCCAGTGTCCTTCAAGCTAGACGAGGACAACTTCTTGCCATGGAAACAACAAGCATTGGCAACCATCAAAGGATACAACCTTACACGGTTTATTACTCCTGAAACTTCAGCTTCCACCTCAAAGACTTCCACTGAAGCACAACAAGATTCACAAGAAGACACAAAAAAGACAAGTGCAGCTGACAAAACTAGCACCAAGGCTGCAGCAGCAAAGGATTCTACAGAAGTTCAACAAGATCAGCTTCTTTTATCATGGCTTCTTTCATCCATGTCAGAAACCATTTACACTCGAATGGTGGGTTGCTTGAACTCCTTGCAGGTCTGGCAAAAACTTGAAGAGTTCTTTACATCACAAACCCGAGCAAAAGTAAAGCAATTAAAGCTGCAGCTCAAGAACATAAAGAAAGAAGGGAGTGTCTCACAATACCTGCTGCAGATCAAGAAGATAGTTGATTCTTTGATTGCCTCGGGCTCTCCAATCACTCCAGAAGATCACATTGATGCCATTTTAGATGGTCTGAATGAGGATTATGATCCTTTTGTAACATCTGTCACCTCAAGAACTGACCCCTACACAATGGTGAAGACCTCTTAAGCATAATGGAATACATATTTTGATGATGACAAAGGATTTACAAAAAGTCTCAAATTGAAGATGGAGTTTGAAGATACAAGTGGTTAGGTATTTTTAGATATTTTGTTACACACAATATTATATCATATAATATCTTCCTAAGTTCCATTGCATATCATTGCATATCATGCTAATTTCATAATAAATAAAAATGATTAATATTTTATTGAAAATATGTTTAAAAAAAAAATATAGCCTTTCAATTATTAAAAGGCATCAGTATGTTGATTTCCATTAAATATCATATGGGTATGTTAAATAGAATATATAAGTAGTAATAAAAAGCTATATAATTGAAATTTCTTTGAGTATCACGTGAAGTTAGCTTTTGTCAGTTAATTTTTTAAAACAATTAAACTATTAAAAAATAAAAGAAAAGAAAAGCTAAGCCATCAGGTCACTTGGATAAAAGAAAGTCACTTGGATAAAAGAAAGGCATTTTATGGTACGTTGGCTTTCAAAACAAAAAATTAGTATATAAAAAAAATAAGCAAGTTTATTTTACAAAATCAAAAAGAAAGACGCTACGCATATCCTAGTTCCAAAAAAAACGCTCTCCAAATTTCGTGAATCTCCACTGTGCTCTTTCTATTTCTTATACTCTGCAGAAGCTCCCTTTCATCCATTTCGTTCTAAATCTTTGCGTAAGATCAAGTCAGTGGGTGAGTGTGACTTCTCCAAGTTATTCGAGAACACACTCGATCTCCATTTCGGTTCTTTCTTTCGGTAGCCAACTAAATCAAATTTTAGGGCTTTTTGGTACATCTCTTTTCAGTGAAAAATTTCTAGGTTCTTTGACTGAAATATTTGGGGCTTCATTGTGGTATTTTCTAATCAACTCAAATCTTTTATGAATCCTTGATTTGAAGCATTTTATCTGAAATTTCTAGATCTATTATTTCATAATGCTTTAGGGATTTTGAGTTGTTTAATCTGAATATTAAATTCTTGAATTGTTCTAGAAATTTTATTGTTGGGATATTAAATCTGAATTTTCTGTTTTAATTGAAGTATATTGTGATTAAAATTCAGATTTCTTTTGGTTTATTATTAAAAGATTTATCTAGAACTAATTCTGAATTTTATGTGAAATTTTGAGATAAATTTCAAATCTGATTTTTCTGGTTATAATTGTGATATTCTTTTTAAATCAGATTTCTTGGTGTCCATTGATTAGAAAAATAATTGTGTAATATCCAAGCTCCCTTGTACATTAATTTTAGAGATTTTAATACATATGTCATTGGATTAATTTTTTGCATATGGCATAAATTTTTGGAGCTTAGTTTGATATTACCTTGATATATTTGGTGTGATAAGACACTGTAATTTTGGTTTATTTCACTTGTTACAATTCTGAAAATTCTGTATTGATTGTTAAAGTGGAGTAGTTGTGTGCTGTAAATCTGTCCTAGGTGTGTGGGTGCAACCGAGTGGGTTGGCGACCTTGTGCTTGGCTTGAGAGTGTGTCTCAAGGCCTGGAGCCTCAAGAATCCACTAGGGAGAATGGAGGTCTTGTGTGAGAGGAGTTGGTGAACTCCTTAGGTTCGGCTTGAGAGTATTCTCAGAGCTTGGAGCAGTGTAGGCACTAGGAAGATTTTTGATATTTTGTTTGATTGCATGTGTGACGCGTGTTTGTAAAACAGGTACACTTGTGATAAATAAAATATCTGCAGCTACTTCAGTCTGGACGTAGCACCCTACTTAGGCTTAGTGGGTGTGAACCAGGATATATCGTGTGTCCATTGTCTCTCTCATTTAATTTCTGAATATTTTGTTTAGAGACTGACAGTTACACTAATTCTATTATAATTGCTGCGTTTATACTCTATAAATTGCTAAGGTACGCTTTCTATTACTACATTGTTCTTAGCATTGCGAAAAACTATTTTGGGCATATAGGGATTAAAGAAAAATTGTGTAATTGTTTACTGAATTCAAAAAGATTTTGAAAAAGTTTAGAACACCTGTTCACCCCTCCCTCTAGGTGTTCCGTAAGCGTCATGTGTAAGAAGCCACTTGCCCAACAAGTGGTATCAGAGCTACGTGCTCTGAGTGATTGGCTATCTGCCAAAGAGTTAAAGATCCTATGGCTTCTTTCCATCAGGATATTCCTCTTGAGGGTGGTTCCACCAATCGTCCTCCGTTTTTCAATGGGATTGATTATCCTTATTGGAAAACTCGGATGCAGATTTTCCTTGAGTCAGTAGATCTTAAAATTTGGTATAGTGTAGAGGAAGGATATCAGTCTTCAACCACACTAGATGACAATGGAAAAACTGTGCCTAAAAAACACACAGATTTTACTAGAGATGAATTAGAGAAAGCCCAATACAACTCAAAAGCAAAGAACTTAATAGTTAATGCACTTGGCAAAGACGAATACTACCGAGTATCTTCATGTAAGACCGCACGTGAGATGTGGCTTATTTTAGAAACAACTCATTAAGGTACTAGTGAAGTAAAACGTTCTAAACAAAATGCATTATCTAGAGAGTTTGAGCTCTTTGAGATGTATGAGGGTGAATCTATATTTGACATGCAAAAACGTTTCATGCATATAGTTACATCCAT